CATGCCCAGCTCCTTAAGCCGCTCCTCATAGGGCTTGTTCTCCAGACCCTTGATCATTTTAGTCGCCCTCCTCTGGACACATTCCAGCTTGTCACTATCTCTCTTGAATTGTGGTGCCCAGAATTGGACACAATATTCCAGGTGTGGTCTAACCAAAGCGGAATAGAGGGGTAGCATACTTCCCTAGATCTAGACACTATGCTCCTATTGATGCAGGCCAAAATCCCATTGGCTTTTTTTGCCGCCACATCACATTGTTGGCTCATGTTTAACTTGTTGTCCACGAGGACTCCAAGATCTTTTTCACACGTACTGCTCTCGAGCCAGGCGTCACCCCTTCTGTATCTTTGCATTTCGTTTTTCCTGCCAAGTGGAGTATCTTGCATTTGTCACTGTTGAACTTCATTTTGTTAGTTTTGGCCCATCTCTCTAATCTGTCAAGATCGTTTTGAATCCTGCTCCTGTCCCCTGGACTATTGGCTATTCCTCCCAATTTGGTGTCGTCTGCAAACTTGATGATCCTGCCTTCTAGCCCTTCATCTAAGTCATTAATAAAGATGTTGAACAGGACCGGGCCCAGGACGGAACCCTGCGTAAATTATGAATTCTGCGTAAAGCTAAGGAGGAGAACAGCAATCTGGGATATATCTAGAGGAGATGGTAAAATGCCTGGAAACCACACCCCACAAAGACTGGTTGAGGGAGAAGGGCATGTTTCAGCTACAGAAGAGTGGATTGGGAAACACTATGATAACCATCTCCAAAAATCCTAGGCTTTAGAGGGGTTTGTTTGTCTTTTTTTGCTTCTCCAGAGAATACGACTCAAGTCAATTGCTTCGAACTACAAGAAAGGAAAATCTAGGTAAATAACAGGACACACTTCCTGACGGTAAGAGACGTTTCACAACTGAACAGACTATCTGGTGGACTTCCTTGCATTGTGGGTGTTATTTGGCAACCTTCAAAGTTGCCAGTTGACTTTAGGAGACCGTACGAATCTCACAGGGTTTTCTGAGGAAAGGAATACTCAGAAGTGGCTGTGAAATACCTAGTCTTCATTGCTGGTCTCCTATCCAAATACTAACTCTAGATAGTTTCCAAATGAGACAGGATCTAGTGCCTTTTTATATATCCAATATCCAAATACTAACTGTATCTAGCTTCCAAGTGAGACAGGATCTTGTGCCTTTCTTGATTTGGAGGCTACCGAAAAAGGTCTGATGGCTCTCATAGAATCATCATATCTCTCTCTATATATATATGTGTGTGTGTGTGTGTGTGTGTGTGTGTGTAAAGTTTTTATTTATATAGATAAATCAGGACTGTGGTTGGGAGTTAGCAGCATTAAGATCACTACTGACCAAAAGGCCATGAGTTTAAAGCTAGCCCGGGTCGGAGTGAGCCTCCGACCAATTTGTGTAGCTTGCTGTCGACCTTTGCAGCCCGAAAGACAGTTACATCTGTCAAGTAGGAAATTTAGGTACTGCTTATTCAGGAAGGCTAATTTACGATGCTATAAAAATCTCCAGCAAGCATGCAAAGAATGAGGAAGTACTTCATCAGTGTCACAAATGGACGGTGAAGTGACAGCTCCCCTGGTGGCCAGAATACCCTCATGAAAAAGCTGGAATGTTAAATAGCCTCTGTGGGTCTGTCTATATATGTTGTGTGCCTATGGCATTGAATGTTTGCCATGTATATGTACGTTGTAATCCGCTCTGAGTCCCCTGAGGGGTGGGAAGGGTGGAATATAATTACTGTAAATAAATAAATATATAAATAGATTCGTTTGTGGGATTAACATTAGACCAATTGACACGAAATTTGGACACAACACACCTATTAGGCCAACGAGCGACCATGACTCATAAAAATACTGAAAAATGCAACAGAAGGGACTTTAAAAGTCCAAAAAAAGCAAAAAGATGCTACAGCACATGCGCAAAACGATTCCCCCTAGCAAACAAAACACACAATAGCATATCCATACTCTCTTCCGGACTACAGCTCCCAGCATCCCCTAGACACAGCCCTTTAGGAGAGGAGGGTAATCCAAATGCACTGCTTCCAAGCTGCAAGTTTTCTTCTCCTTGGATTTCTTGAGAGCATCCCAATCCCTGCATATTTCCAATTTCTTATTACTGGACTGCAACTCCCAGCAATCCTCCAGATAGATAGATTACCAGGGGCTTTGTTGCATTATTTATGACTTGTCTTCGCTCTCCTTTGAGGTCGAGATAGTGTGACACACCCAAGGTCACCCGGTGGGTTTCCATAGCCAAGCAGGGATTCGAACCCAGGCCTCCAGAGTATGAGTTTCACACCAAAACCAGCTGAAATCAATCACTGCTCAGAGTAGTAAGCAGTCACTTTTGTCATGAGGACTAGAAACTTGAGTAACTATTCAAAACTGACAATTATTTTGAGAGCTAATCTACAGGACACAATCAATACAGGTCATATTTTTGTGCAGCACAAAATGAATCCAACAGCTTCGGCTTCCTTCCAGCTATTGTTTGGCCAAAACACATCCTTTCGATTGTGATAAAAGCGATTCACACCCTCTAGGACTGCAACTCCCAGTTACCTTGGCCAACATGGTCAATGGTCAAGGATACTGGAGGCTGGAGTCCAATCACGCCTGGAAAGCTAGTGTCCCAATCCCGATTATTGACTACATTAGCACTTGGTAGGAAACAGTATGATCTCAGCATTGGACTATGGGTGCGTCTACACTGTTGAGTTAACGTGGTTTGACACCACTTTAATTGCCGTGGGTCAGTGTTATGCAATCATGGGAAATGTAGTTTTAAGACGGTCTTCAGCCTTTTTTGACAAAGAGTGCTGGTGCTTCCCTAAACTATGAATCCCATGATGCGATAGCAATCCAATCAATTGAATTGATAATGGGAGGTATAATACAATCAATCAAATGGATGATGGGAGGTAGAGTCCAATCAATTGAATGAATGATGGGAGATGCAGTCCAATCAATTGAGTGGATAACAGGAGGTACAGTCCAATCAATTGAATGGATAATGGGATGTACAGTCCAATCAACTGAATGGGTGATGGGTCAGTGCTATGCAATCAATTGATTGGATGATGGCAGGTACAGTCCAATCAACTGAATGGATAATGGGAGCTACAGTCCAATCAATTGAGTGGTTGATGGGAGGTGCACTCCAATCAATTGAGTGGATGATGGGAGGTGCAGTCTAATCAACTGAATGGATGATGGGAGGTACAGTTCAATCAGCTGAATGGATAATGGGAAGTACAATCCAGTCAATTGAATGGATGATAGGAGGTACAGCCCAGCTAACTGAATGGATGATGGGATGTGCAGTCCAATCAATTGAGTGGATGATGGGAGGTGCAGTCCAACCAATTGGATGGATGATGGGAGGTACAGTCCAATCAACTGAATGGATGACGACTAATACAGTCCAATCAATTAAGTGGATGATGGGCAGTACTGTCCAATCAATTGAATGGATGTTGGGAGGTACTGTCCAATCAACTGAATGGATAATGGGAAGTACAATCCAGTCAATTGAATGGATGTTGGGAGGTACAGTCCAACTAATTGAATGGATAATGGGAGGTGCAGTCGAATCAATTGAGTGGATGATGGGAGGTACAGTCCAACTTAATGGATGATGGGAGGTGCGGTCCAATCAATTGAATGGATAATGGGAGGTACAGTCCAATCAACTGAATGGGTGATGGGAGGCACAGTGCAATCAACTAAATGGATGATGACTAATACAGTCCAATCAATTAAGTGGATGATGGGTGGTAGAGTCCAATCAATTGAATGGATAATGGGAGATACAGTCCAATCAACTGAATGGATAATGGGAAGTACAGTCCAATCAACTGAATGGATGATGGGAGGTACAGTACAGTCAATTGAATGGATAATGGGAGGTACAGTCCACTCAACTGAATGGGTGATGGGAGGTACAGTCCAATCAACTGAATCGATGATGGGAAGTACAGTCCAATCAACTGAATGGATGATGGCTAATACAGCCCAATCAATTGAATGGATGATGGGTTGTAGAGTCCAATCAATTGAATGGATAATGGGAGGTACAGTCCTGTCAACTGAATTGGTGATGGAAGATGCATGTAATCAATTGAATGGATGATAGGAAATACAGTCCGATCAATTAAGTGTATGATGGGAGGTACAGTCTGTTCATTTGAATGGATGATGGGAGGGTGCAGCCCAATTGAGTGGATCATGGGATGTACTGTCCGATCAATAGAATGGATGATGGGAGGTACGCTCCAATCAATTGAATGGATGATGGGGAGATACAGTTCAATCAGCTGGATGAATGATGGGAGTTACAGTCCAATCAATTGAGTGGATGATGGGAGGTACAGTCCCATCCATCCCAAGGCCTGGAGAAGAGGAAACAGTTTGGGAATGGAGCCTGGAGGAATGTTTTCAGAAAGCAAGCTAAAGGGAAACCAGAGCGTCCAAGGAAACATTCTGGGCTCAAGAAGCAAACCACAACACACACACACACACACACACACAGAGAGAAGCCCATCCAAAGGTCCTCCCTTCTTGTTTCCTTCTCCAGGCTCAGAAATACAAATCTGGCTGAATTGCAACCAGATCTACACCCCAGTAAACACAGAGGGGACTGGGAAAGAGAAATGCAAGAGAGAAATGCAGAAGAACATGCGAGTCACAGGATCTGCTAGGTTTCTGAGAACAAGGAAACATGGGGTTTTTTCCCCTCCTTGAAAGAGGAACCCTAATAAAAAAAATCCATTTTTGGAGAGCCCAATGTGCCTAAAACCCGTGTAGTCACGCATTCACACGTGCACGCGAGAGAGAAACGTGCAGGGCATTTCTTGCAAGCTAGATTTCTAGCTGCAGGGCAAGCATGACCCAGTCTCTGCTTCTCTGCAATGCCTGGGGCCTCCCCAAGGGAGAGGACACGCGTTCAGACGTTCAAGGCAGACACGCGTCTTACCTTCCCAGCAAGCCAGCCTGCTCCGTGTCCTTTTTCCTTTCTGAGCCTGTCCTCTCCTTCCTTGAGCACTTTGATGGCTTAGGGGCGGGGCTTAGCCGCAAGGGGAGGGGCCTATGCGCAAGGGGGCGGGGCCAGGCCCGCGCATGCGCACGAGGCGGGAAGGTAGGGAGGAGGCAGAAGGGAGGGTCATTGATAAAAATTGACTCATTCGTTATTATTATTTTTTTCTCAAGGGAATAGAAGTTATATTTTCTCAGGGGAATGGCTGAAAATAAAGTTTCTTTTCTCTCTGCTGAGATAGCTGCATCATCCACAACAACAACAACAACAATGAATTTTAATTAATTATTAAATAATAATAATAAATATTAAATAATAATAATTAAATAATAATAATAATTTATTATTATTATTTTATTGATTTATCAATTGTAATTATGAATAAAATATTCAAAATATTGAGACACAACCAAGCTCACATATTATAAGACCAATACAACAATAATGCATTTTAATTCATTATTAATTATTATTATTAATTATTATTATTATTGACTTATTAATTGTAATTATTATTAATACTGGCATATCAATTGTAATTATGAATAAACAACTTCCCCTCCCAAAATATTGAGACTCAAGGGAACTCACATGTTATAAGACCAATACAACAAATAATGCATTTTAATTAATTATTAATTATTATTATTAATACTGACATATCAATTGTAATTATGAATATACAACTTCCCCTCCCAAAATATGTAGACAGAACCAAGCTCACATATTATAAGACCAATACAACAATAATGCATTTTAATTAATTATTATTATTGATTTATCAATTGTAATTATGAATAAACAACTTCCCCTCCCAAAATATGTAGACAGAACCAAGCTCACATATTATAAGACCAATACAACAACAATGCATTTTAATTAATTATTAATTATTATTAATAATTATTATTATTGACTTATTAATTGTAAATATGAATAAATGACTTCCCCTCCCAAAATATTGAGACTCAAGGGAACTCAAATGTTATAAGACCAATACAACAACAGTAATGAATTTTAATTAATTATTAATATTAATATTAATAATTAAATAATGATTAAATAATAATAATAAATTTATTATTATTATTATTATTATTGACTTATTAATTGTAATTATGAATAAACAACTTCTCCTCCCAAAATATTGAGACTCAAAGGAGCTCACGTGTTATAAGACCAATAAAGCAATAATGAATTTTAATTAATTAATTATTGTTGTTGTTGTTTACTTATTAATTGTAATTATGAATAAACTACTTCCTCTCCCAAAATATTGAGACTCAAGGGAGCTCAAATGTTCTAAGACCAATACAACAATGATGCATTTTAATTATTATTTATTTATTATTATTATTGACTTATGAATTATAATTATGAATATACAACTTCCTCTCCCAAAAGATTGAGACTCAAGGGAACTCAGATGTTGTAAGACCAATACAACAATAATGAATTTTGATTAATTATTATTTATGATTAATATTAATTATGATTATTATTGATTTATTAATTTTTATTATGAATATACAACTTCCTCTACCAAAATATTGAGACTCAAGGGAGCTCAAGTGTTATAAGACCAATACAACAACAATAATGTATTTTAATTAATTATTTATTATTATTAATTATTGACTTATTAATTGTAATTACGAATATACAACTTCCTCTCCCAAAATATTGAGACTCAAGGGAGCTCACATTTTACAAGACCAATGCAACAATAATAATGCATTTTAATTATTAATTATTATTATTGACTTATTAATTGTAATTATAAATAACCAACTTGCCCTCCCAAAACATTGAGACTCAAGAGAACTCACATTTTATAAGACCAATGTAATTAAAAACACATACACAAGAATTTGAGAGTTGGACCATAGGGAAGGCTGAGCGAAGGAAGATCGATGCTTTTGAGCTGTGGTGTTGGAGGAAAGTTCTGAGAGTGCCTTGGACCGCGAGAAGATCCAACCAGTCCATCCTCCAGGAAATAAAGCCCGACTGCTCATTGGAGGGAAAGATACTAGAGACAAAGTTGAAGTACTTGGCCACATCATGAGGAGACAGGAAAGCCTAGAGAAGACAATTATGCTGGGGAAAGTGGAAGGCAAAAGGAAGAGGGGCCGACCAAGGGCAAGATGGATGGATGGCATCCTTGAAGTGACTGGACTGACCTTGAAGGAGCTGGGGGTGGTGATGGCCGACAGGGAGCTCTGGCGTGGGCTGGTCCATGATATCACGAAGAGTCAGAAAAGACTGAACGAATGAACAACAAACACAAGAAGTCAATATTCAAACAATGTCAAACTATGTATTGTTGAAGGCTTTCATGGCTGGAATCACTAGGTTCTTGTGGGTTTTTTCGGGCTATATGGCCATGTTCTAGAGGCATTTTCTCCTGACATTTTCGCCTGCATCTATGGCAAGCATCCTCAGAGGAAGTGAGGTCTGTTGGAATTAGGGCAATGGGTTTATTTGTAAGTCTTGACAAGAATCATCTCTTGCTTATATGTGTGTGTTGAGGAAGAACCACTCCCTGATTAGGATGTATATCAGATGAGGTTTTCTTGATGCAGGTAGTGGGTGAAATGAAGTAATCAGAGATGGAACTATGCTACAAGGTTTGCTGGAAAGAAGCAGATTAATGCATTATTTTGTAAGTGTTTTTTTTCTTCTGCAATGGACAATGTGGACAATGTGTTTTCAAGGCTACTGTATTTTTTCTTTATAAAATACATGTGCTGACTACTCAAGAGTAAAGACATTTTTCTTTTATACTCTGTGTACTTCAACTTGGGGCCTGGAGCTGGGAAGACTGCTGTGTATTTTCAATATAAACTAACAAACCGCAACAGGTCTGTTGGAAATAGGACAATGGGTTTATATATCTGTTGAATGGCTGGGGTGGGGCAAAGAGCTCTTCTCTGCTGGACTAGGTGTGAATGTTTCAACTGACCACCTTCATTAGCATTTGAAGGCCTGGCTGAGCCTGGGAAAATCTTTTGTTGAGAGGTGTTAAGATGTGCCTGGTTGTTTCCTCTCTGCTGTTTTGCTGTTGTACTTTTAGAGTTTTTTAATACTGGTAGCCAGATTTTGTTCATTTTCATGGTTTCCTCCTTTCTGTTGAAATTGTCCACATGCTTGTGGATTTCAGTGGCTTCTCTGTAGTCTGACATGGTGGTTGTTAGAGTGGTCCAGCATTTCTTTGTTCTCAAATAATATGCTGTGTCCAGGTTGGTTCATCAGGTGCTCTGCTATGGCTGACTTCTCTGGTTGAAGTAGTCTGCAGTGCCTTTCATGTTCCTTGATTCGGTTTTGGGCAATACTGCTGCGTTTGTTGGTCCCTATGTAGACTTGTTTGTTGGTCCCTATGTAGACTTCAGTTCATCCTCAAGATGAACTGAACCACCTCAACTGGGCTCTCCAGGCCAATGGAGACTCCACCTCAGACATCAGAAGAGCTGCAAGACCAAGAACAAGCCACGAGAGTAAAGATGAAGATCCACCCAGAGGAAAAGTGTTCCTGCCATACATCAAGGGAACCACTGACCACATAGGGAAGCTGATGAAGAAACACAACCTACAAACTATCTACAGACCCACTAAGAAAATCCAACAAATGCTACGTTCAGCAAAGGACAAGAGGGATCCTCTCACCTCTGCAGGAGTCTACCGTATACCATGCAGCTGTGGACAAGTCTACATAGGGACCACCAAACGCAGCATTGCCCAAACACGAATCAAGGAACATGAAAGACACTGCAGACTACTTCAACCAGAGAAGTCAGCCATAGAAGAGCACCTGATGAACCAACCTGGACACATATTGAGACAGTTCAGCTTTGAATAACATGACATAAAGCTATTTTAAAAAATCCAATGGAAACAATGCCTCCATAGAGGAAGTCCCATAGGACTGACTAAGTTTGTGTCTAGGGCAGGCCTGGGCAAACTTGGGCCCTCTAGGCTGTTGGGAATTCTGGGAGTTAAAGTCCAAAACACCTGGAGGGCCCAAGTTTGCCCAGGCCTACTCTAGGAGCACATCTATACTGTAGAATTTATTTATTTATCGTGTCATTCGGACAACGTGGCATTCGGTCCAGCAAAGTAGATAGCGGAGGATCACTTCAATGCAGCTTTTGTGACAGTGGATGCACCACTATCACCATCATGGTTCTCCACCCCTTAAGAAGTCCAAGGTCATTACACCAGCAGTATATAAATTGAGACATGAAGTGCTCCTTCATCACGACAATAATGCACCCAGTCACAGAGTCTTGTGTTGCATTTTTTTTTTCGTGTCAGGAGTGATGAGAAACTGTAAGTCACTTGTGGTGTGAGAGAATGGGACGTCTACAAGGACATTGCCCAGGAGATGTCCGGATGTTTTGACGTTTTATCATCCTTGTGGGAGGCATCTCTCATGTCCCTGTATGGGGAGCTGGAGCTGACAGAGGGAGCTCATCCGCACTCTCCGCAGATTCGAACCTCTGACCTGGCGGTCTTCAGTCCTCCTGGCACAAGGGTTTAACCCACTGTGTTGCAATGACTACCATTTATAAAGAACATCCACTGTAGTCACTGGCTCTGGCTTCCATTGTCTGCAGACTCTTCCCAAACTGAAGGAACACCTGCACAGAAGAATGGAATAGAGTAGCTTTATTGTCATTGTACAATTACATAATAAAATTAAATGCCATCCCCAGCAAACACCACAAAACAACACACCCACCCCTCCACAGCCCCCAATGCCACATCAAAGACAAAACCGTAGAGTTCAACATAGGCACAGCTCTCTCTCAGTTTGTTTGTCCTTGCCTTTGTCACCCGGTACCATCTGCCAGATGGAAATAATCCCAAAAAATAAAAGAATATGCCGGGTGAGATGGAACCCCAAGAATGCTCTGAGCTTTTTTAAGGCCATGGGTTCTATTAAGTTCATCCAAAGAGGGGAGAAAAATGGTAACCAATGATTCTCTGGGCAGTCGTGGGGACTCTTTGGAGCACCTTCCTACTTGCCA